CTAGTGCTTGTATAATAGCGGCATCGCCGGACTCGCTTAGAAAGGCTACTGTAACGGCGTACGTTCAAGGGATACGCGCCCAAGCATTAATCGATACAGGCAGCTCAATTAGTTTTATGGATGAGGAATTCTTTAATCTCTGTCGTTTAAAAAAGAAACCGAGTAACCAGAGAATTTCAATGGCTTCGACTACTCTTACTTCCAAAGTAGAGGGACAAACTAGCGTCTCTGCCAAAATTGGAGATTATGAGTACAAAAATCTGAATCTACTCATAGTAAAGAATTTATGCGCTGATCTCATCATTGGACATGATATTCTGCATCAACACTCTTCACTAGAGTTTTCTTTTGGTGGTTTGAAGGAACCTATCAAAGTTAATGTATGCAGTGTTGCTGCAGCTACCGTGCCTGCCGTACCACTGTTTTCTAATGTATGTCCTGAAATTAAGCCTGTTGCTATAAAATCGAGAAGACATAGTGAGGATGACAAAGAATTTATAAAAGAGGAAGTCAGGAAACTTTTGGCTGATGGAATAATCGAAGAAAGCACGTCCCCCTGGAGAGCTCAAGTCCTTATCACAAAAAATGTCAACCATAAGAAGCGTCTTGTCATCGATTATTCCCAAACTATAAACAGATATACTCATTTAGATGCGTACCCTCTACCAAACATAGAGGAGCTGGTGTCACAAATATCTAGATATCGTATATTTAGCGCTATAGATTTGCAAAGTGCTTATCATCAAGTTCCTATTTTGCTCGAAGAACGTCATTTTACGGCTTTTGAGGCTTTAGGAAATTTATACCAATTTCTCCGAATTCCATTTGGCGTTACAAACGGCGTCTCAAGTTTTCAAAGGACGATTGATTGGGTAATCCGAAAAGAAGATCTCAAGGGAACGTTCGCTTATCTTGATGATATTACAATTTGTGGCAAGACCCAGCTTGAACATGACAAAAATCTTAAGAAATTCTTGGCAGCTGCCCAGAAATATGGCCTCACTCTCAACAAAGAAAAGAGTAAGTTCTCACAAAACTCTATTAATATTCTGGGTTATAACATAGAAGACAACATTATCAAACCGGATGCAGACCGCTTGCGCCCACTTCTGAACTTACCACCACCATCAGATCTATCATCACTGAGAAGAGTGATAGGAATGTTTGCACACTATAGCAAGTGGATTCCAAATTTTTCAGAAAAAGTTCACGATCTTACTAATGCAAGGATATTTCCATTAAGCGACAATTTAGTCAAAAACTTCAATGTACTCAAATCAGATATAGCCAAATCAAGTATTCATGCAATTGATCATAACGCACCATTAACCGTGGAAACAGACGCGTCAGATCATTCTATCGCAGCAACTTTGTCACAGGCTTCTCGGCCTGTTGCCTTTTTCTCCAGAATGCTAAACAAAAGTGAACATAATCACTCGGCGATAGAAAAAGAAGCTTACGCTATCGTCGAATCGCTGAAGAAATGGCGTCATTTTCTTATCGGCAAACCCTTCCGGCTTATCACTGACCAAAGATCAGTATCTTTCATGTTTAACAATAAACTAACGAGCAAAATAAAGAATGAGAAAATACAACGCTGGCGTCTGGAGTTGGCGCCATTTAAGTATGACATTATATATCGTCCAGGCAAACAAAATGATGCAGCGGATGCACTCTCACGCGTATGCAGCTCAATATCGACACGAAATGAAAAGTTATATTCATTGCACAATGATTTATGTCATCCGGGCATAGCACGAATGACCCACTGGCTTAAATCAAAGAATCTACCATATTCTACGGAAGAAATTAAAAACATGACTAAGTCGTGTAAAATTTGCTCCGAAATAAAGCCAAGATTTTACAAACCTACAATTGATCCAGTTTTGATAAAAGCTACGTCGCCTATGGAGAGACTGAGTATCGATTTCAAAGGACCAGTACCTTCTAATACGAGAAATAAATACATTCTTACAGTAATAGACGAATACTCACGCTTTCCATTTGCATTTCCGTGCCCAGACATGAACTCTTCAACGGTAATCAAACATTTAAATGAAATTTTTATGCTATTCGGTATGCCGTCTTATCTACATTCAGATCGAGGAACCTGTTTCATATCTACTGAAGTAAAGAACTTCTTAAATTCACGTGGTATTGCGTCGAGCAGAACTACACCTTATAACCCAAGAGGAAATGGACAGGTTGAACGTTTTAACGGAACTCTTTGGAAATCAGTGCAATTGGCTCTACGTTCGCAGAACCTACCAATAGAAAATTGGGAAAAGGTTCTAAACCAAGCTTTACATTGTATCAGATCTTTGTTGTGCACAGCGACTTGTTGTACGCCGCACGAAAGAATGTTTACACATACCAGGCGGTCATCGAATGGAGTATCTATACCTACCTGGCTGACGGAATCAGAAAAAGTATTAATGAGAAAATTTAATCGTACTAACAAGTATCAACCTATTGTTGAAGAAGTGACTCTTCTGCACGTAAATCCAGACTACTCCTATGTTCGCTATGAGGACGGTCGAGAGACAACTGTTTCCAACCGACATTTAGCACCATTGAGCCTAGATAGTCAGATAATGGTAGATGAAACAACAAATATTGAGGCTCTTAACGAAAACTCCAATGAAGTGGAGGACCCTAATCCTACATCTCAAAATTCTGAAACCAGATCTTCTGATTCCGAAAATGAGACTGAAGACATAGACCACCCTGAACCTCCAGCGGACACCGAACCAGAGATTCGAAGGTCTGCAAGAGTGCGACACCCACCAGCCCACCTCGAGGATTATTTTCAAGGCTGATAGAATGTCATAATATTAACTCTTTAGTTTCTAATGTCTATTTTGAACTTTACATTTGATAGTCTTTTAGTTCATTGTTGTCAAATATTTTTGTGGAATAAAACCGTTATTCTAAAGGTTTTATCTTATTTATCAGCAACCGAGTTCAGGATGATGTTAGGGCTGGCGCTCACGCGCTGCAGCATGGAGTAGCATCGCTTCCGCATGATTGCATGAAAGCCGTCCACTCCCGCCTCACAGAACATGCCGGAGGCGCTACACCGCCGCCCCAGCCCCATCAACACCCTGAACGCGTTATTATACTGCACCCTCAAAGCGCTATATGCCTTCCCTGTGTAACTGACCCACAGGCTGCAGGTGTAAAAAGTTTGACAGAATGCTTTAAAAAGCGTCGTCTTTACCTCCTTTGTACACCTTGCAAACCTGCGAGCCAACATATTGCAGCGGACAGAAAGCGCCCTGCGCTCCCTCTCCAGATCTAAGTTGTCACTTAGATTTTCAGAGACCCAGTGGCCCAGATACTTAAAGTTGGCTACTCTTTTAAGTGGCGTGCCAGCCAGAGTGATTGACGGCAAGGTGGAGTAGGTCTTATTACCTGCCTTAAACACCATCATTTCACTCTTCGTAGAGTTGTATCTGAGCCCATGAGCCTCCGCGTATTGTTCGCAAGTCCTGAGCAGCCTCCTCATGGCACCGATCGAGGGACTCAGCAGAACCATATCGTCTGCGTAACTAATGTTATTTACGCAGACCCCTCCTACATGGCAACCGATACCAGTTCTGCTGAGCTCCTCGATCAGCTTATTCATATATAAGTTGAAAAGGCGGGGAGACGACAAACCCCCCTGCCTCACCCCGCACTCCAACCCATACTCTTCCGACAAAGAGCCTGCCCACCTTACGCAGTTTGACTGCTCCTTGTACCAGTACTTGAGCAGTTGGATAACCTCATCGGGTACCTGTGTATCCTCCTTCAACTTCCGCCAAAGCAGGTCATAATTTACGAAGTCGAAAGCTTTGGATAAATCAAGGAAACAGGCAACCACAGGTGTGTTCCTGTCCGCATAGTATTGGACAGTATGCTTGAGTGACAGGATTGCACTTTCAGTAGACAATCCAGGTCTAAACCCGAATTGGGCGTCGTGCAACTTTATATGTTTTTCCATGTGTTTGTCAAGCAGACCGTCCAACACCTTTGCTAATACAGGTGCCAGTGAAACAGGTCTGTAGTTGCCTATATCCGAAGTGTCACCTGTTTTATTTTTCAATATTGGAACCACAATAGTCTTAATGATTGCTTCTGGAAGATAACAATGTCCAATACAAAGAGTGAAAAATGTGGCCAAGACTCTGGGCAGGTGCACTCCAGCGTGTTGCAGGTGCTCGATGCTGAGACTATCATGACCTGGGGACTTTCCTCTAACCATATTCTTGATTACAGTAGCCACATCTTTGGACGAGAAACTTACAGTCAAATCTGTGGCCACCTCCCCAGCATCGGCCACCTGCAACATACTACCCACATGCGTTGACACTTTAAAGTGTTTCATAAACCGGTCAGCTATGGCTGCCGGCTCATGTTCCCCTGCTATACTCATAGGCAGGCTCGGCCTGGGATTCAGCTTGTTCGTGTTTTTCCAAAATTTTTTAAAGTCCTTAGACGAGTGATTTTTAGCAATGAATTACTAATTTTATTAAATGTTGGTAATTTTCGAAACAGTAACTAAACTCTCGTCAAGGGCACATTACGTAGGCCGGGAGTTTTCTTTTGAACCAATGAACTAACACCACATACATGTTATTTCATCCCTGTCACATATATATGGCGCACTATAAGTTTCCGGAACTGGCCACTTACATAAACAATATTTAAAAAGTAATTACAACATTTGAAAATGGAACTCTTTGGCTTTAGAATACAGTTTATTTCATCTGGTTGTCACTTGTTTTTACATTGTGGCCTCATTTTAGAAATTGGTTGTCTACATCACCATGGATCTAACTCAAAAAAATTTCGTAGTATGATTTTCTACGATTTTAAGTGTAATTTAATAGCTCAGCGGAGCTTCGCTCGGCTTGAAGCTGCTTGGCTGGTTTGCAGAATTGAAACGCGGTCGTGTAACTCTCAGTGACGAATTTCGTGATGTGAACAACAAAAACATCGATACTGTGCGCCGTGTGATCAAAACAGACAGGCATGTGACATACCATGAGATTCGGGCATCTTTAGGCATAGGTATGAGTCAAATATAATCAATACTACACAAACATTTGGGCGTGAAAAATTTGACTGAGGCTCAAAAAATGTATCTCGTCACTTGGTGCTATGCCATGCTTACCAGATTCAACGAAGAGGCGTCAAATTTTGTGTGGGAAATAGTAACAGGTGACGAAACATGGATTTATAATTACGATCCCAAAATAAAGCAGCAATCGAGTGTATGGGTCTTTCGAGGTGAGCCGAAACCAATCAAAGTGGCGCGCATGCAAAGTGCCTCTAAGCGGATGATTGCTTCATTTTTTAATAAGACTGGACACGTGGCTACTGTTGCTTTGGAGAATTATTGTACCGTGAATAGTGATTGGTACACGACCATTTGTTTCCCAGAAGTTATTGACAAACTCCGTAAAAATAACCGTAAACGCCGTATCATCTTGCACCACGATAATGTCAGTTCTCACACGGCCAGACAGACAAATGAAATTTTGAAGGTGAACAACGTTGACCTTGGAATAAAATGAAATGAAATTTTATTTGCTTAAAACATGGTGTGAAAGATGGAACAATTATTACAGAACACATGTTTTACCTGACTAGGCATGCAAAATCTTGCTTAAATTTAGTTTAATTATAGCATTGTCATCAGACGTGTACAAGGAATAATCAATTCATTAATTAATAACAACAGAATAATAAACTATCAATTTCAAATTATTAAATATCATACATCATTATTATATTAAACATACATATACCTTATAATTTCATGTCGACATCCAATAATCAACAAAGAATAATCAGTCAATTAAAAACAACAAAATAATAACCTTCTATGTCAAACTATTAAATATTTATACATCATAATTACATTGTACATTTATACAGTGAGGTGGGCGGGTGCTCAATCGGATGTTTACAGGTTGGAGTGTGGAGTTAGGCAGGGGGGTTTGAGTTCACCGCGGCTCTTCAACCTGTACATGGACGGGCTGATGGGTGAGCTCACAAGTACCAAAATTGGTTGTTATATTGATGGGGTTTGCGTTAATCATATATGTTACGCAGATGACATGGTGCTTTTGAGCCCATCTATCGGCGCCCTGCGCAGGCTGCTAAAGATTTGTGAGTCTTATGCGGTGGCTCATGGGCTCAGATACAATGCGCTGAAGAGTGAGTGCATGGTATTTAAAGCAGGTACTAAAACGTATACCATAGTGCCTTCCATTGATCTAGGCGGCACTCCTCTAAAGCAGACAAAACAATTTAAGTATCTGGGTCACAGGGTCACCGAGGACCTATGCGATAATGCCGATGTGGAAAGGGAGCGCAGGGCGCTGGCTGTCCGTGGCAATATGTTGGCTCGCAGGTTTGCACGATGTACAGATGAAGTAAAGGTAACGCTTTTTAAAGCATATTGCCAGTCTTTTTACACGTGCAGCCTGTGGGTCAGTTACACGCGGCGGACATACGGAGCACTGCGCATCCAGTATAACAATGCGTTCAGGATGCTGTTCCGACTTCCACCTTTCTGTAGCGCGTCGACCATGTTTGCTGAGAAACATGTAGACGATTTCTACGCTATCATGCGAAAGCGTAGTGCATCGCTACTCCGTCGTATGCGTCTCAGTACGAACAGCATCCTGAGCACATTGGTGGAAAGATGGGAGTCCCCAATGCTGGGGCGGTGGATGCGCTTGCACACTGCTGCCAATGCGTAGCCAGTTGTCCTGACATTGGCTGGTTTTTATTTTATTATTTTAAACCTAACACTAGCTTAAGTATTTTTCGTTACTAACAAATATTATGGATGATTGTAAGTCTGAAATAAATGGATTATTATTATTATTATTATTATATACATTAAGCACTAATTTCATGTCAACATATGTCTAAAAAATGAGTCACTTTGTAGTAATTTTTGTCTCTAAGCCATTCACTAAGTCTGTTTCTGAACTAATTATTTGGTAACGTTTGAATGTCTTTGGTAGAGCATTATAAATTCGGGCACACATACCGTTACATTGATTTTTGTAATAACACAATCTAGGTTTATTATTATACACCCGTCTATTTGGGTCCCTTACATATCTACTATGTACATCTGTATTTTTTTTTTTAAGTTTAGATTTTGCTTAACAAACCATGCCACTTCGAAAATGTTCATACACGGTAACTGCAAAATTCCCAATTCTTTAAACAAAGGTGCACAAGATTCCCGTGGGGAAACACTGGTCATTGCTCGAACACACTTTTTTTGAGCTGATCACAATTTTTTACACTCAGCTGAGTTGCCCCAAACCAAGAGTTCATATCTAAGCAGAGACGCAACGTAACCATGATAAGCAGTCAAAACTGTAGATGGTGATGATACATTTCGCAACCTCCTTAAGACTTATACGTATCGATGTAATTTATCTACCAGTGACTCGACGTGTTGTGACCAGTTGCGACTACTGTCTATTTCCACGCTTAAGAATGTTGTAGAGTCTGCCTCCTGAATATTGACATCCTTGTAATTTATGTTAAGGTTATGATCCATCCTTATGAGCCATCCCGCGTACAGTCCCGACCTTGTGACTTTTATTTATATCCAAAAATTAAAAACCAGTTACGCGGTCAACGATTTTCATCACTTGAAGAGGCTATCGAAGAGTATGAAAAATATATTTCATACGGAGGAGTGGCATAAATATTTTCAAAATTGGTTCATTCGTATGAAAAAGTGCATTAACGCTAACGGAGAATATTTTGAGAAACAATAAATTCATTTCTGACCATTTATAGTATTTTTTTCTTATTCATTCCGGAAATTTATAGTACGAACTAACAAAAGTCAAAAAGAACGTTCACTTTTAAATTATACTTCCATAAGAAACCACCACTGTTTATCGATTAATGGCACTATTCTTGAAACCTGTAACCTATTGCCAATATATTACAGTCAACTATAAATCGTCTTTAATTTAACGGGCTCGTCGAGATCCTGTACATCTTCTACTTGGGTCTGGCGGCTACATAATATATGATCCGGCTCGAAGGACATGGAGTATAGTAAAACAGGAATTTATAAAAATGATATTACGGCGTATCACAGCACAAAGTGGTGGCCAAGACGAGCAAAAAGGCCCTTGGACAGATTACTGGACTGATGGTTTGACGATATCTTCAGATTTGTGAGATCGCGCTGGATGCATATAGAGCAGGACCTTAAAAGTTGGTGCAATAAAGAAGATTCCTATATTCTGCAGTGGATTGATGTTGGCTGCCTGTGAGGATAATGATGATTATGACTGACGATATAATCAGTAGCAACAGAGTTCTTTGCCCCCTGTTCGTCCAGAGAAGTACTGCCACCTTACCTATGTTTGCCGCCAAGCAGTAATGTGAGCTACACATGCATTACTGTGTTTCGGTTTTGAAGGATCGGCCCTCTCCTAATCACGTTCGGCCCTTCTAGGTACTGGTGAAATTACAGGCACATGGGACTTGTCAACTTGTGTTTCACGATGATAGACGTAGTTGCAGTGTCCCACACATCTTTGTGATTTAAAACTCTGATATTCGTCGCCAACGATTGATCTCCACCGTTTGTAATCGTGAAGAAAGCTGCGTGGCGGAGAAAATTCACGACAGAGGTACGTGTGAAGTATGGTAGACTGAAGCCTTAACCGTTTCTTTAGAGGAAAGTCTTAAAGTAGAACGTGATGATCTATACATATATCGATCTATGGGTTTTATTAATAGAGTGACAAAACCATTCCAAAACCCAAACAGTATGATAACCCTGTTTTCTTCCTTGGTCCGCAGCAATTTAGAGTATTGTTCAGTTATGTGGTCACCCTTTTATAATTGTCATATTGAAAGAATCGAAGCTGTCCAAAGACGGTTTCTTCGGAACTTGAGCTCTAGGTTTGGAATGCGTAGGAAATTGGATACTTACGAGGCAAGACTCAAATATTTTAAGGTACGCCCTCTTCAGTACAGACGTGTGATACTGGACTATTCCACACTGTTTAAAATTATCAACTTTGAAATGGACTCAAGTGAGATCTTAAGCCACGCCTTGTTTAAGATTGGCAGTAAACGTACCCAAATAACTTTTTCTTTGCCATGTACCACTAACAATGTCTCATATAATGATCCTATTTTTCGCATGTTTAGAGCTCATAACAACTTTTCTAAAGATTTGGACTTATTCTCCCATAGTCGCTATACTTATTTAAATATTTGTAAGGAGAAGCTGAATATGTTGGATATTTAAGAATCTCGTGTTTTTATATACGTGTAACATGATGTTTTTGCTATTGTTTTTAAGCAAATTTAATTTTTTTTTATATTATGTTTAATAACCTGTTAATTTGTAAGTACTTATTTATTTTGCAAATGCCGTGCGTGGCTGTCATAGGAATACAAATTTACTCCTATGAGTAAATTTGTATTCCTATGACAGCCACGCACTTATAATAGTATAATGCATGTTAACTTTAAGCGTCTTCACAGTTAGTATTCTGTAGCTATGCCAAAAATAAATAAATAAATAAATAAATATAGTTGATAAATAAAGGAAGAACTAATTATAAAATATTAATAGCTGCCAAAATGTAAATTCACACATTCTTTAAGCGCAGGTCACACCGCGAACGAAGGTAAGCTAACTTAGCTTAGCTCACGTAGTTGCATGCAAAGCCAAGCTTAGAAAATACGTAGTAAGTAGTAACGTGCTACACTATGGATAAGGATAAAGATAAGGGCGACATATTTTAAGAGTACATAGCTTAGCGGGATCGATGGGTTAGTTTAGTTAGCTGGGGTAGCTTAGTTCGCAGTTTGAGCGGATCCCGCTCAGCGGCGTCGTACCTTCGCTTCTGCGCGCGATCAGAGCGGGGGCTCCGTTCGCCAGTGATCCCGAATCCTTCCCACTAGAGCGCCCGAGAAGGTCACCGTGGGGTTTTAGCCGGCATAACCTCTCCGCTGCCCCCGCGGCGTTGTGAACCGAAGTGTGATTAGATGTCCCGGCTACGTGAGCCGAGCTATGTTAGCTTAGCTTCGTTCGCGGTGTGGCCTGCGCATTAGCAGGGTCGTTGGGTTAGTTAAGTTAGTTTAGTTCGCGGTGTGAAGCCCGAAGTATGATTGCATGCCTCTGCTACGTGAGTTAAGCTAAATGCCTGCGGCGTGACCTGCTCTTTAGAAAATTCTCGAAGAGCCCTACGTATTAGAGTCACTTCAAAATAGCAGACTGTGAGCATCAGCATCTCTATCGAGATAATGACTTTAAATATATAATAATAATTATCGATATGCTAGCTACACGATGTCGAGTGGCTTGCACAACGGTTTTCATGGTGTTGCTATCTGTGTGGTCTCGGATTCGATCCTCGATCGGGTCAATGTAGGAACATTTCTATATTGTCTCGGGTCTGGGTGGTTGTGGTACCGTCGTTGTTTCCAATGTCTATAACACAAGTGTGGTTCCATCAATCTTATTATAGAGGTTAATAATATGTTATCATATCTTTTAAATTGTTTTCTATTTGCTGTATAATCATTTTGTTTCAAAATTTGCCTTATATTTTTAAACACTTCAGTGTTTAGTAAGTGGCCGAACGGTTACCATGCTGGACTGTCACGTAGAGGTCCCGGGTTTAATTCCCGGACCGGGAGAAATAATTGTATGGCCTACATTTACTTCTTTCGTGAGTTTGCGTGTAATTTCTGATTATCTGCCTATGTGTGTGACTATGGCACCCGCGATACAGGATTTCCCTAAGTCTGGGATATGAGTGTGTGCGTGTGTGCGCGTGTTTTTATATTCCGATCGTTTATAACTAAAGTGCGGAAACATTAAGGAAAAATATTATGTTTAATTGGATGAACTAACTGTGTAATGATCGATTGCTATAGTTGGTAATTTAACAAACAATATTTAATTTAAAATAATTTGAAGATATCCGCTCACGCGATGCGCTCATCCTACCGCAAAATGGCGGCTATTTGGTTTCGCAAATTAGAAAAGGATTCAGTTTAAATACAAGTTTTTATAACTAAAAATTATTATTCTGCATTGCTAAATAAATACCCTCCGTACTACCAACAAAATCATCTCAAATAAAATGCAGTAATACACCGCAAATCCTGCACTTAAAAAGCACTAATGAAAGTTTTGGTGTACTTGGGTAAATATGATAATATTCCGTTTGAGTGGTTCTAACGTTTACCATGAAATTACTCCTTAAAGTATAGTTTATAAACATTTATATTTAGGGTAAACTTAAAAAACGCTACTTACGGTATGTTTTCAATAAATAAACACCGAAATCACCAGCCCAAAAATAACACACACGATTGTCGTGACGTATTTTTGAAGTTGTTTATTTTTTTTAAATGACAGACTCAGGCATTAAAAACTTTATGGTTTGCTAGAGGAGTTACCGAATAAGCAATTAGTATTAGTTCTTTTACCTGTTATAACTTCGATATCCGATAAATCGGTATAAAATCATCACCGGCACATCTAGGTGTGGTATGCGTCTACGGCTGCATGTATCGCGTGAGCGGATAATACAGCAAATTAAAAAAGTGGCATTCGAACTTGAACCCTTAGTAAATTATAATATAACTTTTTTATAAAAGAAAACCGACCTCAATAGTTCGTGGAATTACATCTATTTGCAAAGTTTTATAGAAATCGGCTACCAGAAAGTGCGCGTAACCGGATTCA